TTATCCCTAATTATATACTCTTTAATTATTTTATCTCTAATTGATGTGAAATTTAAGTTTTTTTTTCCAATAAAACATATTTCAATTTATTTATAAATTAACATGAAAGATACAAACACAACACAACTATATAATTTTTCTAATTATGTTTTGAGCAATCTAGGTACATGCCTGGTTGAACCGATTACTACTAGAATTTCTCTTATTACATGCGACTTTTTCTGCGAATTTTTATGAAAAATTCGCAGGAAACTTTGTTCCTACAAATTTTTTTGCGAAATTTTATCTGCAGGTAATACCTACGTGGATTGTATGTTTTTGCGAATTTTAAAATTCGCATGAAATTTTCCTGCGAAATTTCTTGCGAAAAAAATTCGCAGGAAAGTTTCTTGCAAAAAAAATTTCGTAGAAAATTTTCCTACGAATTTTTTTTAAAATTTTGCAGGAATATTTTTTACGAAAAAAATTAAAAAAATTACTATAAATTCTATTAATAATTCTTCAACTTTCAAATGCTCACAATGAATTCATTCGAAGCATTTGTTTCTATGTCTTCAACATGTGATATATAATTTTTTAAATTCTAAGATTGTAGATTATAAGCCTAACACTCAACCATACAAATCAACTTGTAAGGTAAGTGTTTCCCCAACTTATATACTCTTTAATTGTTTTATTTTCAATTGATCTGGGACTTGAATTTTTTTTAAATATTAAACTTATAAATTTAAATATATCTTTTTTATTTTTCTTGCGGATTAAAATTTGCAGGAAAATCCGCAGGAAAAGTTACTTGCAAAATTTTTCTACCATTTAGTAAACATTACTTGTGCATTTATTTTTGCAAGAAAATCTACAAGAAACAAAATAAAATTCTTACAATATTTTCTACAAATTTTTACCATGGAAAAAAATTTCTATGATCATTAAACTTGTAGCAAAAATTTGTAAGAAATATCTGGAAATTATTTTTCGCAAAAAAATTCACAAAAAAATTTTACAAATATTTTTTTACAGGAAAATTCGCAAGAAAATGACACTTTTCTAGTAGTGGATGTAGAACCAATTTTAAACTGATTTTGAGAACATAACCGGTTTTTAAATCAATTTAGACATGTTTCATAAATATGCTTTTTAGGTCTTTGAATTTTTTATTATAAAAAAACTCTTCATTTATTGTTGGATTTTGTCGAGACAATATTAGGTGAATTTGGACGACGAATTTAATAATATGTTAATTTTATTTGACAAATTTATTAATAATGCTTAAACAAAGGATTAAAATAAAAAATTTAAAATTACAAACATTAAAAATTCAATTCTAAATTTAAATAAATTTATTTTAAAATTTAAGAGACTAGAGTTATATTTATTTTTAAATTTAAATTCATTATTGTATTATCCTCCTCCTTTTATGACTCAACAATTATTATTATTTTTTTTATATGGATTTTATTTTTTAATTTTTATATTGTAAATTTATAATTTTTATATTTAAAAAAAAGAAATTAACATAAAATATTGCGGTATATTAGAATTTAATACTAAAAATATTTTTTCGTGAGTGAATAATTGAAAGAAAAAAAATATTTTTTTTGTACCCATAACAAATTTTAGATATATTTCTTCTTTTCCTAAATGATATTTATAAATTTCTAAGATATCTTAAATGAATAAAAATGCATGAAAGACACACTTTCACTCAAATATCTATATAAAATACAGGGACATATTTAGTTATAAGAGAGTAGAACAGTTGTCTCACTATTTTTTTAATCATTTATAAATTTATAAATAAAATATTTTAAATCACAAATTATAAACAATTTGAAATGTTTGTTTAGAATAATTTACATTTACATTATAAATATTTTATACCACCATTAACTTATTTTAGAAGCTACATCTTCCACTTCTCCTAATCTCTTCCATCATGTTGTCTTAGCTACCTAGTGTAGTAGTGATGGACGTATTTTTGTACACTCTGACTCTAGCCAGATTTGGGCCTTGTATATATATATATATATATATATTCTAGACACTATATGTATACACTTGTTCCTTTTTGAGTGGTGTTCTGGTGTGCTATGCTGTGTGTAGTGACTAGTCGGGTCGTTACAATTTATTCAAAAGAAAATTAAATCAATAAATTATATCAACAAATAAAAATAACCTTACTTACCAGAACAAGAATCAAAGATTCAGTGAGTAGGAGATGAATGAGATCTTTGGTGAGAAGGAAATGAATCAAATGTTTACCGAGTAGGAGAAGAGTGAAAAATTTAAACAAAGGTTCAAACTTTATACAAATTGAATGAGTGAGTGAATGAAGAAAAGAGGAGAAGAGAGACGTTGCCCTGCAAAATTCTTTGGTCAAAGGCTAAAAATGTTTTTAGTCAAAGGCTAAAAATGTTTTTAGTCAAAGGCTGACACATGGTAGTGATGAACAGATGGTGCCTCCATCCCATGTGCCAGCTGCACCAACTCATGCATTAAGGATGGCGCCTCCACCTCCATGCGCCATCCTCTTCCCTCCCTCAAACATGACCAAATGTGACCTCAGATGTGACTAGACAGACTTTATTCAGATGGAACATCCCCTATACACCATGTGACCTCAGATGTGACTAGACAGACTTTGTTCAGATGGAACATCTCTTATACACCATCCGAACAATTGTTTTGTCTTATTTTAAGACTCCTATCTCTTGCGCTTTGTGCATAAGTTACTAGGTGACCAAAATTACCTAAAGTAGTAATTTGATTTTTTTTTTAATTTATTACATGTATTTTTCTTTATTATATATTAATTTAATTACGTGAAAAAGCATGTCTTGCAAGGCCCACTACTGGTGTACGGAATGGAAGGCGCGAACTGTGGAGAAACTAAACCTTCTGAAGCTCGCTCTTGGGGAACACATGGGAAGGTTTATTATCTGGACCAAGTTTGCTTTTCAGAAACTGAACACTATTTCTGGGTCGTTTGGAAAGGGGAAGAAGCTTGACAAGAAGAGAAAGAGGAAGGTTTGTGTCGTAGGATCATCAACATTGTTACTTGTAATTCTCTCATTTAATTACTTGTCTAATTGAACTTTTTTTCCTTGTTCTTTTCAGCAAATAAAATAATATATCTCTGGTTTTGTGTGAAAATTTTGTTTGTCAGAATTTACTGCAAATTCTGGTCGGGTGTTTCACAGAAATTATGTGGTTTTGTTGCATGCTCAATGCATATTTGTTGAGTTTTCTATTACAGTTTTAGTTTTGTGGTTTTGTTGCAACTTTATTCTACTATTTTTTCAACAAAGTTTACTTTAATTTTGACATTACCCTTTTTTTCTTTTAAATCTAATTTACTATGTAAAACTTAATTTAGTTATATTTTAAAAAATTAATATCTTAAACCACTTTACCCAACCGATAATTCATTCTAATTTAAAAATAATATCATTTTTACGAACACTCTAAAAAGAAAAACCTCAATGCAAATGGCGCAAATTTTAAAAAAAATATGGATGTCTCTAAAAACAAATTGAAATTTAATACAAGTCTTTGAGAGAATAAATGTACATTTTATTTTTATTTTTTATTTTTTAAAATAATCATTACTATGGTATACTTGAACCTTCCATTTAATAATTGGAGGGATTTGAACTTAATCAAATGTGAATGGATGTCAAATTGGAAATAGAATCTTACAAGACCCTTTTATCACAGAAATTATCAATGTGAAGATGTTTCTCACTCTTTTTAGAGAGAAAAAAAATTATTAGGTGATTCAGGCCGTTCCATATTTATATATCACATGCAACCTCTACAACTTATGGACTGACTAGACCAAAATGTTGAATTCAAACCTCTCAATAAGAAGATTATAATAATATAAAAATGAAAAATTCAAATCATGGTGTGTATCTAAAAAAATTGGAAATGTAAATCAACTTTTTAACTCATATAATGGCTCTATGCTTCTGGAACTCGAATTCCCTTATCTCCCATCTTTTCTGCATGCACTAGAAAAGCTAAATGAGAAGAAAAGAAAAAGTAAAGCTCTAAATGATATTTTTTAATACAATGTCTAAAATATTGGAGGAATTTGTAGAGAAAATATTTAAAAATATTTTAATATAATGTCTAATATTAAATTTAAGGATATAAAGAAAAATTAGTTTTTAAAACTTCTCTCATCACTAAATAATAAGAAACTATTTACTCTCCTCTTCTCTCAATCAAATAAAATTCCTGATTTCTTTTCTCTTAGTACTTATAAGTAATATTTGAATTCATTCTAACATTGACAAAAAAATATATGATTTGACTGAATACAAATATGAGTAATACCTAATTTATTAAATCGAGAACGAGGATAAATATACACTTAATCATTTCATACCTACTTTAAATTTTTAGAAACTTAATTTATTTTTTAAAATTTACTTGATATTTATATGATTCTTATTTTATTTTAAATTTAAGTCAAATAAAATTTAATTTGTATAATTTTGGAATTTCTACTATGATGAAATCCTTGTTTTTTTTAAATATTTTAAAAAAAATTAATTAATTTTTTAGTAAGTACCGAATAGGCATAGATATGTTCGATATTTGATAGTGACAAAAATGAGAACATAAATCTTATACCAAAATATAAAAAATGAGAATGGGACAAGATAGTGAAACCTATACCGTTTTCCTCCATATTTCCTCTCCTCCCCTCTTTTGAAGTAGATAGACCCTAAGGGGGGCTTAGGGTATGTTTGCTTTGCCGTTTAGGCACCCAAATGGACGTTTAGTTTGCATTGAATGTTGTACCCGTTTGTTTGGTAATTTTTTTACGTTACGTTAAATTTCATTATCTTCAAAACGTACGTTACATCCAAAGCAACATCTATGTTGCTTTTCCGTTGAACGAGAAGTTTCCGTTTCTTAATTCTCTTTTCACCCGTAGCATTTAAATTTCTTCAACTACTGGCAACAGTCACCATTACTCTCACCTACCAACTTGAAGAAGTAATAAATCTAGTATATTACTTGGATTCGAAACATTTTTTGCTTGGGCATATAGAATTCCTCCTCCTCCTCCTCTGCTTGTTCCAGATCCATCTACATGTGAGCTCTCTGATTTTGAATTTCTTAATTTTTTTTTTGGATTCATCTGCATGTTGGCTCTCTGATTTTAGATTTCTATCTTGGTAAGATTTTGTTATTTCCCCTTCTTGTGCATAAAAGATTTCTTAACTTTTTAAATTCATTATTGTTATTATCTCTTTTGAATCGTTGATTTTTTTTCCAGATTCATCTATTTTTGATTTTATCTTCAAATGTGCACACTATTGTGATGATTTTTTTATTTATAATTTATTATACTAAGTTGAATGAGGCTATAAATGAATTGTGATTTTTTTATATAATAGATTAATGAGTAACGACAAGAGAAAAGGTCTTGTAAATACTTCTCTTGTTGATAATGAAGGTGTTAAGGCAAAAGCTGCATGGGATGTGAAAGCCACCAAGATGTTTGTTAAATTATGCTTGGATCAAGTTTATAAAGGAGAACGAAATGGTACTAACCTTACAAAAAAAGGTGGAAAGTTGTTGAATCTGAATTCAACATGAAAAGTGGAAGAAAATATGGCAAGAGTCAATGTAGAAACAAATGGGATAATCTTAAGAAGGAATGGTCAATATGGTACACGTTGTTTGGCAAAGAGACAGGTTTAGGATAGGATAATGTAAGAAATACAGTAGATGCTTCAGACGAGTGGTGGGATAAAAAGCAAATGGTATGAAGTCTTTTAATGTGAAGTTAGAATTTTTAAATTCCTTTATGTAATACAATATGTTGATTAGTTGTAACATGCAGGAAAATCCACTTTATGGAAAATTCAGATATAAAGGACTTTCTTTTGCCAATGATTTAACTACATTAAAATAATAACAATAAAATTTTTTCATCAATTCAAATATACTAAATAACAAAATAAACAATATTAATATCATTATAAAATATATACTCATTTTAATAATCATACATGTGAAAGTACTTTTCATTAATATTATCCAAACAACTTTTATTTCAACAAAGTACTTCTAGAATAAAAGTACCCAAACATAAATCAAGTTATTCTAAACTTACTTTTAACTAAACTTAAGTTCACAAAATTAAGCTCAACTAAACTTAACTTTTTTAACTGAAATCCAAACACACACTTAGAAGTTGGTACGGACTCCTCTTTTCTCTTCACTAGGCCCATCTTATTTGGTGAGAGGGAGGAGGTCCATCTCTTAAAGCTTGGTACAAATGTGGTAGGAAGGAGAGTTTATTTGGTTAGAACTTTGCTTTGAATTAAAAACATGTTGTTTCAGATCTATATACTGTTTTTGTTGCTTCATTTCATGTTGTTGTCTTGCTAGTTTACAACATTTTGATCTCACTTTACATGAGTATTATGATGTGATTTTGGTCTCAGGTTATCATGTTACTCTACTTGTTGGAGGTGATGAAGGAGCAAGAATCCTTTGTTATCGGTGATAAGTGTACTAATTTTGCTGCATAAGTACAATTGTTGCTCTGTCTCATTTTACAGACCTTAAATATGATTTTAATGAGCTTTAGGTGATGATTCAATTTTCCTTAGGTTATTATATAACTATACAAGGTGTTCGTCATGAAACAAAACTAAAATTTCGTGTTGATGTGATGATGATTAATTCATTAATCTTGCTACATAATTGTAGTTGTAGTCCTGTCACATTTTTCAGCCATTAAATACATTCTAAAAAGAACTAAGATTATTTAGGCTTCCTCAAGTATATAAGTTATATGCCATTAATCAAAGTCAAAATCTCTTGATTTAAAGCATTATAGCTCATAGATTAAGGGAGCAAAGAGCCAAAATTTGTTGTCGTCTTTGTATTGTTTATGCAGTCTCTATACTAAAACAAAGATAAAATTGAAATATCAAAAAAAGAATATTTAAAATAAAACAATAAACATTTTTTTTTAAATTATGCAACTTTGATTCTATTTATCCCGCAATCAATTTGTTTTTTTTAAAGTATATAAAACAAACATTTATCTTATATATTATATATGTTAATGCGAAAGTTATTTTAATAAAAATACAAATTTATTTTAAGTAGACAAATTTGATATTGATATCAGAATTATCTATTAATTATGATCTAACTTATTTAAACTTTCTAATTTTAAACATATATATGCAAGTATGTTCATATAGTTTTAAGGTCAACTGTATCTTATTAGTCATTTAGATTCAACTTACTTAAATTTTTTAATTTAAGAAAATAAAAAAATAATAAAAACAGAATTGGCCTTAATTTCGGGAATTTTTTTCTCGATTAATTTAAAAAAAAAATACCAAAAAAATCTATTACACATTATTTACCCAAATAGACCTCTTTATTGTTCACACTCAGAATTCGATTCTCTGGAGAAACCGAATTCTGAGCACTCTTATTTATTTATTTTTTTGCATTTTAATTTCTGAGGAAGAGAAAAACTGAATTCAGAACGGGTCGTTCTACAATCAAAACGGCCCGTTCCACATAAAAAAATATACACATGACGAATGATCAGAACGGACCGTTCCAAGAAGAACGTGTCGTTCTCCAAGTAGAACGACACGTTCCAGTTACAAAATTAACACATTTCTGAGCCCAAAATGAAAAAAAAAATTTAAACACTACTCAGAATTCGGTTCCCCGGAAACCAAATTCTGAGTGTGAACAGTAAACAGGTCTATTTGGGTAAATAATGTGTAATAGATATTTTTTTGGTAACTTTTTTTAAAAAAATATTATTTGAGAAAAAAAAATCCAATTTCCGTTGTATCAACAAACAGGAATATGGAGTATAATTTTGGTTAAATAAAGGCAAAACGTGGATGGGCTTGAATGGATCGGCCCCGGAAGGTACTTTGGTTTATCACTCTTGGTCCACACCATATAATAGAGTTATTAGTGAAGGTGGACAATTTTTGTTTCTTTTAATACCTAATGCGACCTTTTGTTTATTTATTTTTTAATGCATGTGACCCACCTTTTAAAAATATACGAGGAAACAATAACATAATTAATTTATTAATTTATTAATAGACTAAATACTAATTTGAAATAAATGTGTGCTTAATTGAGAGCAAAGGGATTGATTAGTGAAGAAACAATTGAAACTAATTGGTTATACACAGTGGTTGTGTATTAGGTACATAAAACAATTAATTGATTGATATACCTCCTCTCCTTCTTATATACTTAGACCTTAAGATAGTTCGTTAATTTTTAAAATAATGCTCAGTATTTGAAGGTAAAGGCAAGGCAGTGGTAGAAAAATTAAAAAGCTTACCAATGTTTCTGATTCCATCCAAAGTCCTAAAGCCAAAGCGAAAAAAAGGGGAAGGCAATAAAAAAACTGCCATAATTCTGTCATCTTTTTGAAAGTTAAAGGCCATGCTCAGCTCCTATCAAGTTGTTGTTCTTGTTTTTATTTTATTTTATTTTATTTATTATTATTAATATTTTGTCAATGAAAGAAAAGGTTATTGGTCATGCTTTTCAGAAAGGATTGTATTGATACTTTTGTTTCATTTTCCATACCAATCTTCTAAGATGCAGGCATCAACGAATAACACTGGTATTGAGTTTTCTTAACTAATCATTGTTAAATTTTGTTGGGATAAAATTATTATTGTTTCTTTGTGGCGAGTAAGTTCTATTTATTTTGAAATTGTCTAAAGACACAAAACAAAACAATCTTTACATAAAATAAAATAAAATAAAAAATATCGTAAGTTTTAATTATGTGTTATTCATTATTTTATTCATGGTATGTGGTTCATTTGGTGACAACCGTGACATGGACTCGTTTTTGGATCCGTAGTGACAGAGACCATACCAAGTTCGAATTGGGTCTCATGCTAGCTGTTATAAGTTTTACAATCCAAATATTATATCGAATTAAATTTTCATACAGGTAAGTTACCAGAGTTTACATCAAACCATCAATTAGTTAAAAGACTACAATTAATTGATAATACGACATTTATAAAATATGAAATAGTAGTTCATACGACATTTAGAGGAGAGAAAAATGGAGGAATTGTGTTTAGGAATTATTGTAGAGTGTTTTTAGACGCATTTATTCGATGAAGAGATTTTTAAAGATTTTTAAAGATTTTTATTTTTTTATTTAAATTTTAATATTTTAAAAATAAATCATTAACTCTAAAAATAATTTCATGTTACAATATATATTATTTATCATAAATAAAAAATATAATTTATATATTTAAAATATTTATTTATATAAATTTTAAATATAACTTATATATTCAAATATAACTTTTATTTAGATATATAATTATCATAAATTTTATATATGATAAACATTTAACTTGAACAATGTATAGACTAAAATATTAATTTATATTGTGACATAATATTATTTTAATTATTCATAATTTATTTCAAAATTATTAAATTTAATTTAGAAATACATGTGATAGAAAAAATCAAAGCACAAAAAAATTTAAAAAAAAAACTATTTTATTGAATAAAAGTATCTAAAAACGTTTTATTTAAAGAGAGATTTGTAAAAATACTTTAACGTAATATAACTATTTATATTTAATATATAAGAGTGAGTAATTCTTCTTATATATATATATATTAGAATAATTTTTTGCATCGCAATAAATAGGTAAATTTTACCAAGAAAGTCAAACAAACTAAATATCAGCCAATAGTCAATTCAGAGTTGAGATGAATGAAAAATCTAATTGCACAGTGATACGTTAAGAGAAGTTTTGCAAAATAATGATGGCAATTTCATAAAATAGATAATAACTGATCATATGATATGCACAACTAACCATTACAGGTTCCAAGAACCCAAAAATCTTCAATTATGCAGAACTCCTTATGATTACTGACGGTAAATCACATTTGGCATTTAATCACTGTTAATTAAGCTCAATATGCACTCTTGCAATAGTGTGTAACTTGAGTGAGAAAGCCATCATTTCCAATATCAATCGCGTCTTGAATGCTCAATGATTAATTACACACCCAATAGTCTTGAATCTTGATGACCATTAGGTCTTGGCTTATTCTAGAGATCGGCATTGGCAAGGCATAGTCTCCGTATGATATACGTTGCTTCACATTAACATATTCACCCGGTCAATGAATTAATAATAATGTCTTTTTGTAATATTGTATTGTAGACACCTAATTTCGTATGGGGCCACACAAACAAGGAAATGGACCTCTGTTATGAAGGGAAGAAGCTCCTGAAGCAGGCAAACAACAAGACATGATATCAGAAGCCTAAAGGCCAAATAAGGTGGTTTTAGTAGCCCGGAACGGGCTGTTCCATAATCGGAACGGGCCGTTCTGAACCCCGGAACGGGCCGTTCTGAACCCCGGAACGGGCCGTTCTGAACCCCGGAACGGGCTGTTCCAAAATCAGAACGGGCCGTTCCGAATCCCGGAACGGGCCGTTCCAACGTGACTAAAACACCTAAAGATCCTAGGCTGGAACGGGTCGTTCGAATACCAGAACGGACCGTTCCAAACAAGTCAAATTTGGAACGGGCCATTCTTTGCAAATTTGTGTTAATTTCCACTCTGGAACGGGCCATTTTGTTTTCAGAACGGGCCGTTCCAGGGTGCGTAATTTGCACATAACGACTGGCCCAGAACGGGCCGTTCCGAATCCGGAACGGGCAGTTCTGGCCCCTTCTGATTCCTATAAATAGAAGTCTCGGGCACAGTCCTCATAGGTGGCCAAAGAAATTTCGAATAAGACTCCTTTGAGCACGAAAATTCTCTATATCTCTTCCCTCTATTGTATTTCTTGAGATTTGTGTCGCATCTCTATCTTCTCTCTCCCTCCTATTGTATTTCTTGAGATTGCGAGGCATACTATAGTGTGAAAGGTCGCCACAAAGCACCTTCTCCATATTTGAAGATTCAATAAAGCTCGTTCAAGAGGTATTTCAATCAATCTTCTTCTATATCTTTTATTTCTCATCTTTATCTCTATCTTTTATTTATAACAAACGCAATCATGTAGATATTTTAGGGTTAGTCGTATAATTCAAATTTTAAATATGTAAATAAATATTAATAAAGGGATTCAATATTTAATTTATTAATTCTTATCATGTTAACTTCATCATAGGGTACCGATTGAGGGCGCTGTAGGGGTGCTTAATACCCCCTACACGTAACCGACCCCGAACCCAATTCTGGTTATCAAGGCCATTGTTGGATCTTTAAAAACCTTTTCTTTTTCCAATGTTTTTTAGTAAAATATTGGTAGCGACTCCATGAACCTATTTTCAAAACCATTAATTAAGAATTAGTCTGGTGTCCAGACATTCCTTAATTAATGAGACTTTTAAAAGGATGTCTAAACCATAGGTCGTGAGATCGAAAATTTTTGGGTTGCGACAGATGGCGACTCCACTAGGGACGTTTTAAGAGGGTCAGGCCCAAATAAATGATGAAGTTAATAAAATAAGAATAATAATTTAAATATTTTTTCCCTTTACTTTGTTTGTTTTATTTGCTTGGCTTTAATATTTGTTTGTCTGTTTAAATTTTGCACTTGTTGGAATACAAATTATACACAAAACCTTTGCACACAACAGTTCCCCCTACACCCGGGGG